ATCTATTACATTTTGCGTTCTTCTTTAGCTTCCAAGTCTACACACTTTCTAATAGATAGATAAAGTAAATACAATAAAGCTATATTCATATTATTATTTACTGTAATCTACAAAAAATGTTCTATTTATAGCTTTATTTCACTGCATTTAACCAATAATATAGCATTCCAGCCATACAAACTACAAAATTCAGAACACGAACCAACTAGAAAATAGTTCTCGACATTACCCAATTTTGTTTTCTTCATAACATATTAATTTCCCGTTCAATTGCTAAATTCATATCAAATTGCACACTCTAACAACACTTCCAAAATAGTGCAACCCGTACATTGTACAGGTAGAAAACTAGTATAATTATAAGACAAAAAGTCATGTGATGTACGACCAAAAGTTTTCCCTTTGTAAACTCAAAAAAATAAAAGTAGAAAAAAGATCCCTATAAAGCATTCCAAAACAAGTATTTTATAAACAAATCCATGTTTCATAAACAAATTCCGTTGTAGTCTAGTTGGTTAGGATACTCGGCTCTCACCCGAGAGACCCGGGTTCAAGTCCCGGCAACGGAATATTTTTGTTATTTTGCCTTTTACTTTGCACTTCCACTTTGTCCCTAACCCTCGCTGTAGTCATGTGATGTCTCTAAACATGCCGAAAGTCTGCTGAAGCACCAGGAAAAAGAGATTTGGTCTTATAATATTTCTGGTACGAGTGCTTACGTAAAGTAGAAATAATGCTTACTTTGATAAGATTTTATTCCGGAGTAAATAAGACACGGGGTCACAACATTAATAAAAATGAAGGCGTAGGTCATCATCCACCTACATAACATTGTGACCTCAAATCTTGAGTTCACTCAACCGTTTTTTAGAATGACGAAGTTATAGCTAGACTTGAGTCATATAAGGATATTTCTATTGGTTGTGCTAAGTTGAGCTGGGATTTATACGGAAGATTAAACTTGATTTACGATTGAACACCAAAAAAAATGAACATCTTCCTAAAGTTTAGCCCCCAAGTTTGGTGTGGCTAAAAATTAGATTTTAGTAAATTTTGTTTAAAAGTTGATGAAAATTATGATCGAAAGTTGATAAAAGTTATGGTAAAAAGCTATTTTGTAAATGAGTTTTTTGAAAAATTGTGACCAAAGATGAGCTTAGAGTCTAAGCAACAAAACATTTCGGGTTATTGCCATTATTGGTTTCACAATAATAGCCATCAAATAACGTCAAGTAGCTAAGTGAACTCGAGCTTCAGATTCAGTTTCTCACCCCCTATCATTAAGTTGGCTGCAAAAATTTTAAAATATTCTTATGATTATAGCTTGCTTGTTAGTGCATTTTAGTCGTGGCTGACAAGAAAATTTTAGCTTCTATTTACCAATCTTTACTATTCGACCCCAAGTCCCAACCATTCAAATTAAACAGCTGAATCCTCCACCTTTCAATTTTGTCACGGACATTCCATCCAAATTGTAAGAGGCCCATGTGGTCCTCACAAAGTAGAAAAACCCCTAAAAAAATAAAATTACCCTACTTTCTTTTTGTTACCTCACCACCATGTAAAAGAATATGTAAATGATGATGTACAACGAGCATTTTCCAGGGGATTAATAGAGCTTCAAAACGATTATACAAACACAGCACTTTACAGTAAATTCTGCAATAAATAAATGAAATATAACTGTTTTCAAATTTTGTTGCTCCGTTTAATTCTCAGTTTGCCTCTTAATATAAAGGCAAACATCAGTTGCAGCACAAACATGCGACCATACTTTTCAATAATTTGCCATTCTGTTGAGAATATAGAAAAAAGGGGCATACCTTGAGGATATCTTTGGTCCCATTCTCTTCTAGGAGACATTGGCACCGAGAAGACGGCTATTACTCCTCGAAAGTCCATTTTCTTCAGGAAAACTTGCAACTCTTACCTTTTCACAACTACCGTATTCCTACCTCTAACTAAATAACTAGGACAGTCCAGCATTCATCCTAATACCTCGTATCTTCTATAACCGATACAGATTGAACAAATTTGCTAAGCATATCACACGAGGCCATTCACTCCTACGAGGAATGAAATATACATAAATCTGCTAAACATTTCAAATATGAAAGTCGAGGCTATTAACTACTCCTAAGAATGATAAAGCTGAGAAGTGAATATGGTCTTTTGCAACTCATTTCAAAAATGCAACTTGTTATCAAAACCCACCTTAACGTATAAGGTAATACAATAAAATGATTGTCAATCAAAAGGGTCAGAAAAGGCATCAATTGTATAACAGCAGAAAGAGGATGAGCAGACCGTAGGCGATCATCCATAAAATGATTTAGGCTTTCATAATATTAACTCAACAAAAACTGATTACACACTATCTGAGGAACTGAGATAAATGGAGAAAGAAGAAAAAAGAAAGCAGCGGGTTCATACTACTAAAAACCACGTCAATTGACTGCCAAAGTTGAGTTTGTCAACTCAACTGAAGGAAAGAAAGGTGTTGTAGTATTAGAAACTGGCATGTTTACACCACATAACAGACACAAAAATCAATTACTGATTCTCCATAGCTTAATAACTACTATATCATCCAAAGTGCCTGGACTACAGCAGTAAAGGAACCAGTTTATCAACTGCAAAAGATACTATCTGATCTAATCCAGATGTCAAGAACTGTAAAGCAGCAATCGGGAAGAGAGCAAAAAACGAAATAGAAATAATCTGTTTGAGCATAATCAAATATCTGAACCCTTAAAAAAGATTCGAGGGTCAAAGATTTATTGTACAAGGGCAAAAAAGGCCAATAAAAACATTCCACAAGCTACGTACTTCACACAGGACAACTAAATTTATGTATGAAACATTACAGGATTTATCCAACGACTTACACATGACATGACCAACTAGGGGCAGGCGGCACTTTGGAATGCAAACTGAACCACGTACATTTATCTTTAACAGCTTCAGATTCACTTGCATACTCTTTGAATCTGTACTCTTCTTGCTTGCAGGTAGGAGGCACTTTTCCTTCGCTGTAGCATTGACTGCAAAGGCTGAAGTGCGATTTCATCTCTTTAAAGCGGGAACCAATTATGGGATAACGGCAAGTTGAACAGACATGGAAACCATGGCGAGTTCTATCCCCACTTTCAAGCTTCAATAGAGTCGACATGATACCAAAGCCCCATTCTTGATCATCAAACATTGCAATGAACTCTGTTAAAGAGACCATGGAGTTATCTGTTTCTCCATGGATTTCCAGTATTTCACTAATACCATGGGAGGGAATATAGATGGCCCTCAAAAGTTTGATGTATCTCTGGGCATCAGACTTTGATATCTGTGTGCTACCTTCATTTACTGGGCGCCACAAGAGTGCATCATATGCAAGCCTCTTTCGCTTTTCTGGAGAACCACCACAAATAGGTGAAAGGACAGCAAAAAACATGCCCAAATCCACTCTTCCTGACTCTGATTCATCCAAAACAGAGAGGATTTTCTGGTTTACAGCTTTGACAGCTCCTGTAAATGTTTCCGGCTTCAAGAAGTTAAGTAATTTGCAGAGAATTCCCTCCAATGAAGCCTTGCGTATGGACTTTTCAGGTATACCACTGCCAGAATAGGATACTGGTACACCACTTTCATTCATTTCTTTCTCTATTAGTTCTACCTCACACCGATTCAATCTAGTGATCCTCTGAAAAGCTCTAATATCAAGGGCAACAGCGAGTTCTGGCCTCAAGATAGTTTTCTCACCTACAGTCTTAAATTTTGAGGGTTCCACGGTAATGTAGGCCTCCTCAACATTAACACTACCGTTCCCCTTCAACTTCTTCTTCTGTAGCTGCTTCAAGTGCGATATGGCATCATGTAATTCAACCCTGTTAGTCATTTTTAAAGCTTCTTTCAAAGCTTTCTTAGCTTCGTCAGTTTCCCCAGCTCCTAACAAAGAAACTGCCCTATTTAGCTGTGCTCTCCAATGGTTTGGCCACACACCCAAGACCCTAGTATACATCTCTGATGCCCTCTGATACCTACCCATATCCATATATAGCCCGCCAAGATTGTACAGTGCATCCACGTGACCAGGTTTCAAGTCAATAGCTTTCTGAAACTGCTTAATTGCATTATCATCATCACCCACGGCATGCAAAGCAGAAGCCAAATCACAGTGTGCATCAGCGTAATCATTCTTCATATAAATAGCCTCCTCTAAGGCCTTAACGGCCGCCTTATACTCACCCACACCGAAAAGGGCACTACCCAAAAGCTTCAAAGCCCTAAAATGTGTAGGGCACAAAATAGCAGCTTCTCTATAATGCTCACAAGCACTAATAAGCATACCTTCACCTTCAAATGCAATTCCCAAATTCACATGAATCTGGGGCAACAGATACGCCCATTGATTCCCACCAACCTCTGCCGCCTCCAGTGCAAGTAGAAATTCCGCTTTGGCCTCACTATGCCTCCCAAGTACATACAAACAGTTCCCTGCTCTAAAATGCGGTCTGATATCAGTTGGCTGCAACTCGCATGCTCTCCTGAAGCTCACCAAAGCCTCCTTGAACAAAAAATGCTCATACAATACTCTTCCAATCGCCATATGTCCATCAAAAGCCTCTTCCCTTGACCTTGCTCCATCAGCCCTAGACCTCAAAACTCCCAACTCCTTCACAAAAACTGCATAGTCATGCCCCAACTCTTCCCAAATCACCCTTTTCTCCGTAATTTCCACTGATGGGCCTAGCTCCCGAGACCATCCTGGATCTGAATATACATCAGAATTATCATTTTTCACCTTACCATTGTTGGACTGCTTCGATTTTAACCTTTTAATTAATATTTCAAGATCGTCAACAAGCTTCCATGTATCATCAAACACAATGCCGTGGTTAGGGGAGGATGCCCAGGCAACGGTGCGCTGTTTTTTATGGGGTTCCATCACACGCTCATGTGCAATGGACGACGACGAGGCTGCCTCCTCTGATACCAATGAAATTCCATTTTTCTCCTCAGAGGGCTTAAGCTCGAGGCCAAGGGCATCAAAATCGCGGTCCAGATCACCAGCTCCGTCATCGTAGGTTCGAAGGAGGCCATCGAACGTGAGGCCCTTTTCGCCGTCTATAAATTCTCCGTATGTACGAAACACCTCGTCAAGGATTGCATTAATTTGCTCCTCGCTAAATTTAACCCTAGGGTTCACCGCCACCACCAGAGCCGACATTTCCTCACGGCTAAGACAACCGTCCCTGTTCGCATCGAATTGCTGGAATATTATCTTAACTTTCTGCGATCTGCTCCCCCGAGTCGTCATTTTTTATTACTTCTTTCTCTCGATTAGCCGTTTAGGATTAGAAAACACAAGCAAAATAATAAAGCTAAAATCGCTTTCTCTCGCTAATTAAATTTTAAGGGTCATAACATTGCAGATGAAGAATTGAAATTCTAAGGTTTTAGAACCCTTTGCATGAACGGTCAAAGTGCGAAACCCTGAAATTTACAGCAAATGAATTCCAAAATCAAAGGTCTTGATACTTTCCCAGAATTATCAGGGTTTGAGTAAAATAAATTGTAGGATTTCAGAAAGGCTTTGTAATTTAGATTCTGTGAAACCCTAATCTTGAAGGGAAAATTAATTCAGTGGGCGGAATGTGACTGTTATCATAGTTGCATTGGATCTTGAAATAGAAGGATGAAAAAGACACACTCTACTCTTCCTTTTTCTCTCTCTAATATCTGTTGCCATTGTTTTCCTCTGGGTGTGATGATGGAGTGGGATGGATGGTGGGGTAGAGGACAGATATGAGGTAACAGACTTTCATTTGTTTGTTAATTTGTCTCTATCTATTTTTGGTTAAATAAGCTTAGTGGGACTAATTATTGCTTTAATTATGAATAATCTTAATAGTAAATTGCTTTTGATAGATTGTAATCTGATTGATGAAATCTGTCAGCTTGACCTTTTCTTTTGTTTCATTTATGGATGACACCTATGGAGTCATGTTTAGTATAATTAATTTCTCATTTTTATTTCCTTTGGATAATTGCAAAGTTAAAAGTAGCCTTAACTTTAGCCCCTATTTAGTTCGGATTAAAATCTGATTTTAATTTAAGTTAAAATCAAACAATCAATATTAACCACATCTTTCATAGGTCCCACAACTTTTCAACCACACATTTCAAAAACTTCTATCATAGTCTACTAAAAATCTAATTTTAATCTCCACCAAACATTCCCTTAATATTTTTGTTTTAAATTCTTATTTTCGTAGAAAATATATTAATATCTCTTGGAATATTTTTTTTGTTTTCTTTTCAACAGGTTAAAATAAACCTAAATGCGGTCAAAATCAACACCCAAGTTTGTCACGCAATTTTTTTAATCACGATATATAGCATGTTTGAGAGTTATTTATTTATAATTTTTTTAATTATAATTAGATAAAATTGATTAATAAATAAGTGAATAATAATTTTTGATCCCACTATACGTATAAATAAATATTGATTTGATCAAATTATAAACAAACTAAGAACAATGATAAAACACACACTTTCTGAACTCGCCACCTTTTCTAAAATAAAAAAAAACACAGTTTGGAAGGTTTCATTTACGCGACAAAACATTTTCCTTTCTAACTTCCATTACTAAATTAATTAGGTTTGTCAATATGCACAAAATATTTTTATTTAGTTAAAAATATAATGTTTTTTAATGAGAGATACTCACCTCCTCTTTAGCTGAAAATGTTGGATTTAACGATATTAACTAGAGCATACTCGTGAGATCTGAATATAAATAGCCGCAAATGCAGGCATGTATGCATTCATTTTCTGATATTCGGCTTGGGCTTTAGGCCCCAGTGAAGACTGGATTTCAGCCTGCAACCCACTGCCCAGTCCATGTAAGAAGATAGGCCACATATATTGGCCCGCCGTAGGGTCGAGCCGCCTAATGAGTTTCCAGTAGTTAAATGGACGAAATTCATCGAGTGGAGATCCAAATGTATAATATTGAAAAGTTGAGAACATAAATCCAAAAATGCAGTTTGCTAATTCAAGTGGTGCATAATGCACGGGTGAAGAGAGTACAGAATAAAATTGAAGTTCAAAGTAGAATCGATATTGTAAAGATCAAAATGTGCAGAGTGAAAACAAAGAACCTGTGAACCCCTTCGGGCAAGACTGTAAGAGGTGCAAGTTGGGAAAGATTGAGCTTCTACCACATGAGGAAGAAGTTTTTCCATCGATATTATCGTAGAGAAGGTGACATATTGGGTACAATGCAATCATACTCATCCGGTAGGAAAGGTTCTAATCTCATTCTTATTCAGAAAACCAGAAATTTGATTATCGATGATGGCATTTACACACAAGTTAATATTATTTACAACCAAAATTACGATTTGAGAACAGCTCCTTCAACGATTTTCCAACCTGATTTCCCACATGACATCTCATACCGTGTTGTGTAGGTTGTACTGTAAGAATCGTCATGCTCGGGATGAGCTACATCAGTTAGTCGAGCTGATTCCTCGAGAGTTGCTTCCACAATAGCACGTCGACCATCAGCTGAGACAGTTACACTCTCTATCGTAAGGTTCAGAAGTTCGTAGTCCCAGAACCAGCCATGTTGTGCAATTTCTGCTGCTCGATCTGTCCAGACTTTTAGCATTTGACCATCCAGGACCTAGCAGTATAGATTACATCCCAGTTTCAGATATGTAGAGGACAAGTGAATTAATTGACAACAAGAAAAATACATGTAAAGTAGCAGAAAGCACCAATGACTAGTGAGTAAACAAGAAGGCTCAAACAAACATGTGAGGGAGTTACAACCAACTACATTTGACTGTACATTTGTTTAATGACGTGACTGAGAGATATTCAACTAGAGCGTTCTATGTGAATTTCCAGTGGTCTCCCAACTTTAATGTTTTCAATTCTCTCTCTAAGATTAAATTATCAACGATACGTTAAACCATGGAACATTGTATTAGGAAACAAACATGAGATACATATCTAAGGTGCAATGAGAACCCAATTGAGACCTGCATATTATAAGATTCTCTCACACAGTTCGACATTCCATCCCCCTTAAGGGCCCCAGGGTAGCACTCAACCACAACCAATATTAACCAATGCAATGATGCAGAGCACATTTATATGAATCCAGATTAAAAAGGAGCCAGTTTTGCCGTCTTCAGCAGGCCTTCGACTACAACTATATACCCAATACCATCTTTTTTAAATTAGGTGACCTAATGCCAAGGTTATAGTACAAAGGATCTGAAGTCCACATGAGTTTTGCATTCCTGGACACGTTCAATACCTCAAACAAAAATTAAGATGTCATATTAAAATGGTACCATCTACGTTTGCGGTAACAGTATGTTTGGCCAGATGGGAAAAAGAGTTTTTGGGCTTCATCCTTCTACTCAAACACAAGGAAGATTGAAAAATAGCATATTATCTGTAAAGTGGAGGAAAAATCGGAATAAGAAATTCTTACCTCTGACAATTTTCCAAGAAAATGATCTGGTCCCAGAGCCTGAGATTTGACATCCTGCCACTTGCGCACAATAATTTCTGCAAATCTTGCATCCATTCTAGGTATTTCGTCTAGATTTTCTGCTACTGAGGCCTCTGAAAGTGATGCATTTCATTCTCAGGATCAAAGAGCACAAAAAGGAAATAAAGGATGGAAGGAAAAATAGAATTTAACACATAAATTTGAAAAAACAAAGTTATTATTTGATACAAGAACTGTATAGGTCAGTTACTTAAAGCCTATTTTTGTGTCAGAACTGTGTTTACCTATTTTGTGTCTTCTTGTTGGTTGGAAGCGGTACGAGGGAAAAGGGGGAAGGAAGAGAGAATAGAAAGACTGAAATTAAGGATGATTTGAGAGCACAATAAGATGCTGGTTCTAGAGAAATTTTCACTTATAAACAAGAATTGATAAATCATACCCACATTGACGACATCGGAAGCCATAGCTGCTCCAGATTCTTTACGTGGAATAGAAGAGTCATATCTATATGGGATGAACTTCAACCCAACCAAAGTCAGTAAACCAACAGCTACACCAGCACACGTGATCTTCACAGTAGCATCTTTTATCTTGTCAGTAATAATTTCTTGCTGCTTTAGTTCATCAGAACCATTCTTCTCAGGAAGGTCTATTGCATAGGCAGAATAATCTTCTTGATCATCATGGCCTCCAGGTTCTGCACCAACAATTGGTAACTCATCATTTTTCATCCCATTCTCCTCATAGAGTCTGGCATTCTTTTCCCCATGACCAAGAGGAAACACTTTCTGCAGTGCCTGAATAGCACTAACTTTTACACTGTCAAGCACAGCCGTAGCCTCAGCCCCAATTCTTGCTATAGCTGCTGCAGCAGCCAAAGGTGAACTGCCAACACCTTCTAGTCTCTGTAAATATCTCAAAACTGTAGGGTCGTCATAATAATCTATGAGCTTAAACCTTATTTCTTGGGTCTCTCTGAACCTTGGGAATACCACCTCCATCAACCATGTCTCCAACAGCTTGCAGAGTCCAGGGAGGAGATCGTTTTCATTGTCATCCTTAGAATGTTCTATGACAAAGGTCACAATAGATGGATCCCTATAAGGTGAGTTTACATCGTCCAAACCCAACCATGTGCGACAATCGTCAACTTCTCCAACAAGAAGTGAACAGAGGCCCCTTTCAAGAGCAAAATCTATTTCGCGATTCTCTCTGACTGTATAGACGGATGAGGAGCTACCAAGAGCTGGAACCTTGGTCTGCTGAAGTTGCTGGAAAAGGTTGTCCGCGTCTTGGATTAGATGAGGTTTCTTACCAGCAAAGGCTTGAGAAACAAGTGCCAGAGCCACTCCATAGACTTCAAAACTTTCTGCCGGTATGTTACTTGGTGTGGATGCAAAGAGATCAACCTTTCGACAAAAAGTAAAAAAAATCATAAGCAAGCCAGCAGAAGAATAACGAAAACTTAACTCAAACGAGATATCATGATCAATCAAATGAATATGTACTTGTTCTGCAGCTGTCATGAGGAGGAAAGCCTCATTCATGAAATTTTCGCGTGTATATCCTCCACCGACAGCAGCTGCACCTCCTCCACCAACAGCCCACAAAATATTGCGCAAACCTTGAAGACCCTCTGCCCTTTTTGTACGGAATTCATCATCAAGAGGTAAGGCTAGAAGCTCTAGAACACAGCGGGGGTTGATCTCTTCCAGAGTTTCATCAATCTGTGCTTGTAAATCCGGTGCAAGATTGCTTGCACCTTCTTCCTGCATAAATACATCAGTTATCTATATAGCCCCTGTTTGGTATTGATTAAAATCATATTTTAATCTAAGTCAAAGTCAAACAATCAATATTAACTGCATATTTCATTGGTCCCACAACTTTTCAACCACAACTTTTATCAAAATCTACTAAAAATCTAATTTTAATCTCTACCAAACAAGGGCATAGCAGATCTTGGTGAACAGTTAAGAACCAGTGCCATAACCTATTATACCTATCAATATTATTCACTCCCACTCCTTGACAGTCAATTCCCTTTCCTCCCCACTTGCAAGCACCAAGAAAGGAAAGCCATAGATCAAGTGCCATCCAATTTCTAATGCACCTATACTTCTCATTTGGAAAATCACAGTCATCCAGTAGAAATAGGAACTGAAAGATACACAAAGTAGTCAAAGAAGAAATGTAAAAGTCCATTAGCAAGAACTTGTTTGGGAATTCAAAATATAATTTAATATTTTGTAAGATCATCATAAAGGTATAGAGGGTACGTCCAATTGTTAAAGCGATCAGGGACATGGACACAAAACGCTAAGGTTGAAACCACAGATGCCCATGGAGAATAAGAGTCAGCATTTTCTTTCAAAGATTAACATAAGAGTACAAAAATGGACGCTTGGAGATCATTTATTAACCAAGTAGCATTAAAATGCAAGCCAAGAGATATCGTGAGCAGAACTCTAACCTGCAACAGCTTGAGAGCCCTCTCAAGAACTTCACAGCCTCTAATAATATCTGGAGGTGTCAATGCCATGGCATCCCTTGACAAGTCAACATAAGCAAGTGCCATTGCCAGCACCACATCTTGCTTGAATGACTTCGGCAACCTCTCTTTTAACAAACTTTCTCCAATCTGAAGAACTAATTCTGTTTCCCCTGCCTCTTGCAACACAGAGAGTGCTCCGGGAACCTTTAAAACCCATTGAATTAAAATCATAAAACTTACCCAAGTTTCCTCCCACAACTCATTTATCATCACAGTTTTCAGGCGAATGTTCTCAAAATTGGAAGAAATCACAAATACAAGCCAGAAATAAATATCAATTTAATTAAAATAAAACTTTCAATAAAAAGATTTAATAGAAACAACAATAAGATTCACCATAAAAACACATTTTTTCCTCAAATTGGCGGAATGACCAAAGATTAAAGATTAAAGGATAAATCTATATCTACATAATTATTGTACATAATGGATTACATATGCCCATGTGGAAGAAATTCGGCCGTGGACGTGAAGTATGAAAAAGTAAAAAATTGTAGACTACCGATGGATGGGCACCACATGTCAATTATGTAATGTATTATGTAAATGATTGTGTACTTGTGGCATGGTCCAAGATTAAATAACTTAAAGTGTTTTCTAAAGTATAAGTCGGAAAAAGAAAAGTAAAACAAGCCAAGATTCTAAAATCCAAAGAATATTACTACATCTTCTAACCTAAAACGCAGTACATCAACCTCGAGACAACGATCTTCAACTCCACAAATTTAGTTCTAATGAAAATACATAGCTTATAAAAGGAGGTAATATTTTCTTAAAAGGCGACAATAATGTGAAGAAAAAAATAACTAAAATTTACCTTATCCCACGGGACTTGAGTGAGAATCGTATCAAATTCATCTTCGGCGAGTCCTTGATTGTACTCTCTTCTGGAACTAGGGTTAGCTAGGGTTTCGCAAGCTGCCTGAAGAATCTGCCTTCGACTAATCAAAGCCTCGTCACTATACCCATACTGTGGGGGCTTTGAAACCCTAGCATCATAAGCTCTCCGAATGCCGTCCCCGAGGAAATGAGACTCCGCACCAAGTAGTCGGTAGAAATCCAGTGGCATTGAAACGTGGCGCTCGGGGAGGGAAGGAAGGGGTGGCGGCGGCGAAATGCGCATGTCAGGCTGCTCTGGGGTGGTTGAAGGGAGGAATTGAAAGTCGGCGAGGAGGCGGTCAGCCCATTTGCTACTGGTGGCGCCACCATGGCTAGTGGACGCGGCATGGAGTTTGTGGTGGCGATTTTTGGCTGCGCTGGGCGGAGGCGATAGTCGTGGAATGTGGGTGAAGATGCTCAGGTGCGTCAGGGCTTCCATTTTGGGGTTTAGAATTCTGGTGTTAGATTGAATTGTAATATAAAATGCCAAAAAAATATCTACATTACATTTCTTTTCCATTGTTTCTAACTCGGATTGTTATTAGTATTTTGCGCACAAAAGATTAGGTTTATTAGCACAAAACGTCTCTACGTTTAGTTCCTGTGTGTAAAACGTTTTCACGTTTCAAATTTTTGTATTTTCATCCTTATTTCAACTTTTCATTGTGAAAATCATCATTTTCATCAATTTTTATCCAATTTCTCAATTAAAAATTGTAAAATGACAAATATACTCATTTATTTAAATAAAACAAAATAAAAAATAAAAAAATTGCAATCATATTCCCATTTTTTTAAAAGAAGTACAAATAAATCCCAAACAAATTAAATTAAAAAATCAAAAAAACAAAAAGTCTTCTCCTTTTTCCCCTCCTCCCTGAGGATCAGCTTCAGAAGATGTCTTTGCCTCAATCGACAATGCATGTAGACCATTCTGCAATTCATCTTGCAACAAGCTGTAAATTAATTTATGCATCTTAGCCAAGCTCTTGCCTTCAAATTCTTGAGAAACCACTTTCACATTAAAATGCGTCTACCCATTGCTTCCCTTAACCCCATGACCCACATGTTGGTATGATATAATCCTCAACTTCCGATTTAATAGGTCTTAGCTCTTTTTCCAACCTCTTCTTTATCCGTGTCTCTCTATTCCCTAATACACACACATTTGAATTACCATTTCCATCATCATTCTTCAACCTCAAATTTGAATTCTTAGCCTGGTTTTTTTATTTTGCTAATTTATTGCTTGAATTACCACCTTTTTCACTTTCCATGTACAATTGCAGAGCCTTCTTATGCATCAAACTCTGCTGCAACCCAATAAGCACCACAAAACCAGGTGAAACCCTCAGAACCTCTTCCACGGGCCGGTCAGAAAGACTTTGGACTAGCAAAGCAGCCAGCCCTTTAGTGAGCATTGAATCAGAATCTGCCTTAAATATCACATTTTTATCACTCTCAAGATATGCTCTGACCTACACCTGCGAAACACAACCTTGCACTTTATTTTCACTTGTTTTATATTGAGAATCCAAATGCTTTGAATTTCTTCCATAGAACAACAACTATTCATACTTGGCCCTTGGTTCTTGAACTGTCTGGAACGGTTTGATGATATCTTGAAACTTTGGAGGCAACTCTTCAATGGGTTGGACAAAAATTGAAGGGGAAGAAGAAGATGGGGATTTTCAAAAGGATTCTTTTGTGGGTATTCTTTGAAATGTAATTGACCTAGAGAAAAAGAAAAAAGTTGTGGGTGAAGAGGGTAAAGATGGGATTTTCATGGGTTTCAAGAATTGATTTCTGGAATGATAAAAAATGAGAGCGTGTGGGATTTTAGTAGAAATCGACATGGGTTTTGGATATCTATTTAAGAACTATGTTAAATTCTGGGATGAATTTTTTGACCTATGATTTTGTAGAGAAGCACTGCTACTCTACCAGATCGGTACAAGATCTGGTAGAGTAGTTGAGTGATAGGGGGGTGGGTGATAAAACATTTTGGGGGGTTTTTATTTTAATGGCGAGGACCCACCTCATGTGAAAAGAGTTGTTTTACCAGGCCTTTACCAGGCTTGGTAAAACAGCATTTTCCGTTGTAGAGAGCAGGTGAAGAGTCGAAAGAGGAGAGGGGCAACGGGTGATAATGGGATTTATTTGTACTTCTTTTTAAAAAATGGGAGTGAGATTGCAATTTATTATTATTTTATTATTATTTTCCTTTTGTTTTATTTAAATAAGAAGGTATATTTGTCATTTTACAATTTTTAATTGAAAAATTGTGTAAAAATTGATGAAAAAAGACGTTTTCCACCATGAAACGTTAAAATATGGGTGAAAATGCAAAAAATTGAAATGAGATGACATTTTGCACACTAAGAACAAAATGTAGAGACGTTCTGTGCTAATAAGCCAAAAGATTATCGATTGTTTTATTACAAGCCCAATTTTGATTTAATTAAAAATCGAATTTTTAGCTATATAGTTTTTAAAAAATTGATAAAATTTTTGAATTTTATAAAATATATGAATAAAATTAATTCTTGATTTTGACTTAAATATTTCACAAGTTTTTAATCTACGCTAATTAGCGCATAATAATTATTTTAGATACTATCATGATTATCATAGTTGCACTTGTTGAGTCCTTAAATTTCCTATGTTGATGCCAAGAGAGATTTTATATTATTTAAGAGGTATAAATACTTTGGGTTACTTGAGTAAAATTAGAGAAGTCCAAAATCAGTAACTCATGTTTGGTCCTTATTTTTTTTAAATTTATTTTTAATTATACATTATCTCGATAAAATAATTTTACATATAAACTCATAATTTTTTCATACTTTTTGACCAAAAATTCTTTGAAATTACTTTTTCCGAAATTTATTCGCACAAAATCTTTATCAAATATGGACTTAATTTAGGGACAACCAAGGCCAAAAAGATGGTCACTTCCCTAACTCCAATAAAGATAACACATTNTCACTTCCCTAACTCCAATAAAGATAACACATTTCTATTTATTGAAATTTCGATTATGGATGTTCAGGCGGACTCATCAGTTTGAACATGAACGGTATTGGAGGATGAATTGATTATCTTAAAAAATGTATAAAAATAATTTACATAAAAATCAAGTATCTTGGTCTCGATCGTAATTGTGTGAACCAAGTCAATGTGCCCCATAATAAAACTTAAAAGACAGAATTAACCATTATTTCTGAAGTCAAATTTGATCATTTTTATTTAATCGAGGTTGCCACAAATAACTTTCAATCTTATATTTAACCCCTCTTTAGACTCTATTAATAATAAATTTTTGTGAAAAATATATTTTTAAATGATGCTATTTTGAAAAATGTGATTAAAAAGTAAGAAAAAAATTTAAAATTTCATTTGTACAATGGATGGTTGACAATGGAGGTTGACAACCTCTCACGTGCATGCGGGTCCCGCGTGATTAAATTTTTTTAGAAAAAAGTGGGCCCCTCCCATTGTGAGTGTTGGTAATCCAACATTGTCATCCTCCATTGTACATGTATCATGATTGTCGTTGGAATACAACTGTCGCTTGTGCGTTGCACTGTTCACAAGAAAGATCTCCAATGTCATCATCGTCTTCATCAGATCATAAAAATCAAAATAATTTTACAACAATTTCAAACCCTCCTCCATTCGCTTTCTACTCTTCCTCTCCTTGAACTCCTCTCATCGTAATCGGCCTCGGTGTAGTGGTTGTTGTGAGCACCGCTGCTGTTGCAGCAGCGATCTATGCGCTGTTGTGCGGCGCTTACAACGGAGTATAAATGCAGCAGTGGTCCCTCTATATTGTTGATTATTTGGGTGGTGGTGGAGGCGGAGGAGGTGGAGTTGGAGTTGGTTTCAGTGTTTTAGGGTTTTTGCGATTTTTGTTGGTAGTTTTTGGTGGTAGTTGTGGATCTGGTGTTGGCGGTATTGGCTCTTATTTTGGATCTGGTGTTGCAGTGTTTTTATAGTGATTTTGGGGTAGGTTTCATTGTTGTGGTGGTGGTGCTGGCTGTAGCGATAAAGTGGCGGTGTAGGTGATGTTGTGGTGGTGGATAGGTTTGAGCATGGTTCGGTTAGGTTGGTTTTGAGCTCAACTCGAAACTGAAACCGACTTGGTCCGTTTGAGTAAATTCCAATCCAAACCAACCTAGGGGCTGTCTGGTGCTGATTTTTCATTCCAAAAAATCATTTTTCTAGCCATTACAATGGGAAATCAGCAGTCATTTTTTACCATTTCACTCACGCGTGGGACCCACCTTCCACTATAACGGTCAAAAAATCCCTTCTGAAAATTGGCTCCAGACAACCCCCCTAATCTAGTTGTTGAAACCGAACCAACCAAACCAAACAAAATCGGTTTTGTTCGATTTGGTTAGGTTAGTCAATTTAAATATTTGTCGAGTTAAAAATTTTTGCCTACCTATTTTGAGTTAAAAAATTTGTTTGCCTATGTATTATTATTGTTATTATTATTTTGCTTGGATAGCACATATTTATAATATATATATATGGTAAATGATCGATTTTTCTAAAATCGTCATATATAGCGGATAGTAACCAACAAGCAATTACATCAAAATAAAAAGCAATATTACAATCTAATTTGAAGTTTACAATAAACAATTTTTCTCATTGCTTTTCTTTTCTTTTGAAATTTGGAGTTTTAGTAGAAAAATTGAAGATGGTAAACAAATTATTTGAGAAATAATTATATTTTATGTTTTTATTATTTTATTTTAAGTTTAAAAATATGAATTTTAAAATTAAAAAAAAATGTATTAGCTGGTTAGATCGGTTAATTAACGGTTTGGTTGTTTCAACTGCAACCAATCAAACCCGACTTTTTATGGTTGAAATTAATCAAACAGACTCAAACTGGCCTAATTCGGTTTGGTTTGGCCGGTTTGATGGGTTTTTCATTTTTTTGCCCACCCCTAGTGGTGGTGGTGCCTTGATGATGGTGGTGGTTGGTAAAAGAATGTTTGTGGCTAATTATTTAGTTAATTGTGATCAATAATAATATGTGATTTTAAAAAATGTGAAATCTCAACTAAATTTATAATCATGATTCACAATTTGTTAAGTTACGACCCATTAATTTAATAATTAATAATCGAGAAATAATTGTCACACCTTAAAATAAGGTGTAACTTATAACTTTTGTGATATGTAACCAAAAATTAATCTATGGCATGTTAATTTGATAATCCGTTATCGATAAATAAATCATGATATATAAAATTTATGATCTGTGATCAAGTAATAGTACAATGACTTATTAATTTGATTATTCATGACCAATTTGTGATCGAAAAATAAGTTGTGACCTATAAAATTTGTTATTTGTGATGTGACGTCTATATTGTGATTAGTATGTAACTGTAACCATAAATTGTATAATACTGTGAT